TAAACTTTTCTCAGGTAGCTGTGTCAAACTGGAGTCCACTAAGGACTAATCCAAGTGATATTACATGACAGATGCCTCAAATAATCCAAAGTTGGAAATGTACACAAAGATGCCTATCCAAGCCTTGGTAAGACATGCTAGGTGGCTCTATCATCCATAATAAGATCCAGAATGAAGGAATGGTTTCTTACAGAGCAAGACCCCTGAGAAATCAGTGACTATCACTGGAGTTGAGCCAGGGTCTAGAAGGCAGAATTGGTACAATAAACTGAGTACACTTTCCCTAAGAGCTGCCCGTCTCTTGCCATATCTCTCTCTGCCTATCACTAGCAAGTGGCAACCGCCTATCCTCCCCTTCCCCAATTGAACCAATCCTCCCAAAACCTGGAAGCTTTCCCGTAGGTTGAAATGCAACCATCTACTCTCTAACCAACTAGCTTGTCAGAAACTTTAATTCACTTCTACTCATGCACAGAGTAGAACTTCAGATCTGTAATCCGTCACATCAATCAACATACTATAACACAAACCACTGATTTCATCCCACACTCACAACTGCAGACTGGCATTACCTGAAAATATTAACTCTACTATCTCACACCCAGAGAGAAAATAAATATCCCCCAAGTCGGACATATCCAATCTGAAAAAAACAACACAATCCTTCCCAACCATCTACGCAAAGACCTAGGGCTTCTGAGTGCCTGGTCCTCTGGTGCCTTAGATGTAAATAGCACAAAAGTCACCACCAGCATTTGGAGCAAAGAGCTGCTACTCTACTTCGTTGAGGTTTCAGTGACAAGGTGGGAGGGAGACAAGGTGGCGCTTCTCAAGGTCATGTATTCCACAGAAGCTGTGGACTCAGGCCAGCAGCCAATTCAGGTGCTTGGCAAGGTTGAGGGAAATGGAAGAGGAAAATGATCAATTGGATGGATGAATAGAATCCAAGAGTTTACTGGAATGTCTTAGAAAAGCTGTGAGTTTTATTAAAGACAGGGCAAGCTAGCAACGAATTGGTCAAACAGTTACCTAGAGGCAAACAAGATTCAGTGATCCCTAAATAACTGTGGGCCTTTCCCTACTATTACGTGCTATTCATTCCTTATGTTGGCACAAAACACAATGCCATCATTAACTTTGGTATGCCTATCACCAATTCCTACTTTGTCTCTTTTGCATCCATTCTATGCCACTGTCAAGTTGTGTCATAGGGATTTGCACCATTATAATCAATGGTTAGTCTTCTCTGGTTAAGTTGCTATCCTCCTTCAGAAAATCACCAGGCAGTGGGAAGAATCAGGGCACTGCAGCATGAATGGGGTAGGCCTGGTTGGGAGGATTCCTTTCTAGCCTGGCCTGCCCCTCCTGTCACATCCCATCTATACATCTCCCAAGTTAAAATATGAAATTTTGAACAGAGAGACATTAGAATAGAAATAATCACTAAGAAGAAGGCACATTCTGCTATGATTGTACAACTAACTATGTCCTCTAAATAGGGTTAACTAAAGCTGACTAGCTGCTGTGCAAGGTGAGTAAAACCAGCCAATGACCAACAAAGGCGCAGGTTGAGGTCCCTTGTGATTTTCAGAATCTTATTGTGAGAAAAAAAGTGATTATCCCATGCCTGAAAATAAAAATACTGCTTCTAGCATAGTGTTAATCTGGTACTAAATAAATATCCCCCTTTTCTTGCTCAGATTAAATACTGGGGATCTGATCTCAGCACACCTCCCTTGTTGGAAGCCTGGAGAGAAACTGGTTTTAAACATAAAGAGAGATGGCAGCATAAGAAGAAACAAATGGGGAGTGCAAACACTAGGAGAGAAGTGGATTCAGGAGGTGCTGGCTAATGGCCATGCCAAATACACACTGAACACACCTCTTCTTATGTCCACAACTCAGGATAACAGATATCGCACATTTTGCTTGCCTTGAATCTGAGTAGGATAAAATCAATTTAAGGGGGGGGGGTATTTTTATTCTAATACATCAAAGGGCAACACAAGGCTGGAGATAAAATGAACAAATCTTGGAGCAATGAATTGGAAGAGATGAGAATTGTCTGGGCAGGATGAGGAGTGCAAGCAGAAATCAGCTCCAAGAACACATCAGAACACACACCACAAATTAATACCATCACCTACTGCAATCTGACACAGGATTAACAATGACTTCTGTAGATGAAATGCTTAGAAGCCTACCTGGTCTGAAGTAACTGCCTTTTTGCCTTAGAAGTGAAATAGCCTAATATCGATCTGAGTTATTGAGACACCAGAGAGCCAAGCTTTATCGTGAATGGAGCAAGTAAGCCCTCTACTGTCTGTTAGGGGCATAGTCTTTAAAACAAAAAGTTCTGGCCTTTTTTGGCCTGAAGGAATTTCCAGTTGACGGAAGTTCTGCTCTTATTCTCCCATTTGCAATGATAGCAGCTTTATTGCTACAGTCACATTTCTTGGGGCTTAAATCACACATAGAGATTGTTCTGTGTGCCTAAGCTCACATCTGATGACAGCAAAAGGGCAGGAAAATTCCACTCTTTGGAGTCAGAAGGTGCTTATGAAACCCCAAATTAGAAAGGGAGAGAAGAAAAAAGAAAGAAAATGGTCAGAAAACTGGGAGCATAAAGGGGAGAGATGGTAGGAGTTGCATAAATACTTGAACAAATGAATTGTCCCTGAATTATTGTAGTCTTTACTTCCATCCACACAAGAAGCACACTATTGTACATATAACAAGACAGAAGTATGCATGCCATTCACATGCACGCACAGTTCCAAATATTAAGCTTTGCTGCAATCCTAAATATCATAGAACCGAACAGCTAATTTATATAGAGAGTAATTAAGACTTCTGAAAAAAATATTTTAAACACACTTGTTTCCTGAAAGTATAGACAGACCTTTTGACTTGCCTGGGCCACATTGAGTGAAGACAAATGATCTTGGACCACTTTTAAAATATAATCAATGTATATAAATACATTATTAGTTTACGATCCTTTGGGGCTGCATTACTAGCTGTCTAGGGCTGCATTTGGCCTTCAGGACACAGGTTGGACACACCTACTATGGACATTCCTGCAAAAGACTTCTGAATGCCTTCAGGCTCCTTGTCTTAGGCTATGGCTGTCTAGAATAAAATGTGGTCATGGGTGGTATGAAACATATAGCTTTCCAAAATAATTTCTTCATGAAAGCAAATATATCTATGATGAGTAGGATTATGTGGTATGGTTTGTTATGAAGTGCTGGCTAACATTAGACTAGGAATCAAGAAATCTGGCATAACTCTCTTTTTGCCCATTAAAACTCACAATGACCTATGTCTAGTCTCACAATTTCTTGGCCTAACCTGACTCCCAAAGTTGTTCTCAACTTCAATGAATAAATAGGTGAGCAGGAATCATTGTTAGTTAGGGGCTGGAATTTGGAGGGGAACAGTTGAGGCCACTGTAGTGATACTGCTGGAGATTATAATAACAAAGGCTAATATGAATATACGCCTTTTGAAATCTTAAACAGAGAAAGATATAACTAGACTTTATACTTCTCCATCATGTTTTAAAAGGTGTGTCATGAATGTTGGCACTAATCTGCAAACCACGTGCCAGGAGTTCTCAATCTGCTGAATGAAACCACCATGTCAGGAGTTTATAAGCAACTTGGAGAGGAGTCACTAATAAAAAAAAGTCTTTGATCAGACTTGTTTTGGCAAAGTGGGAATGTCAAAACTGATTCTGGATTTCGGTCTCATTTTGCCTTCATAAAGCCTTAGTGGACACCTACTGTATCACACAGTGTCTGAGAACTTCTCTGATCTATAGATTAAGGTATAATTATTAAAATTAAAAGTAGGTATTTATTTCTTGCTCAGTCCTAAAATTAATGAAACCATTATTTTCATTCATGCAGAAAGATTTCACTTTGTTATTCCTTGATCCTTTATAATTCAAATTCAAGTTTATATATATTATCACTGACAGTTCAGAATACATATGTATGTAAATATGTATTAAAAGTTTTACAAAGTACATAAAAATTAACACAAACTAATAAAGAATAACAGCCATAAAGGAAGAAAAAAGAAAACATGCAAAAAGAAAAGAAAAAGCAACCTTTGATTTTCTTTGCAGCAAACATAAATACTATTACAAAATTCTCTCTTATTTCCTGATTTAAAAAAAGCTAATTGCTTTCTGTTACCCACCTTTTTTTCTAAACATCAAAACTACAAATCAAAACAGCATTTTTCTGTTTCATGCAAAAAAAAAATTATAAGGGGTTTCTTTTCAGCCATAAGTGTTGATACTGCTTTTTTCTCTAATCAAAAAGGTTTATTTAGTCTTCACCAACCATTTCTCCATTGAGAGTAGTGCCAACCTTACCACATTTTTGATTAAATGACAGCTCAGATTCTCATGATGTAAATTTTGTAATGTCTTTTTAAACACTTAGGAAATGTTATGAGTTATGAAAACAGACTAGGGCGATACCAATGTTAATGTAGCTGAATGTTATATATCTATATATAACAAGCGATATTTACAAGTTTCAGATTGCAGTTGGAATTCTCTTAATTAAGATTTTTACATTATATCTCTAATGTCATCTCAAACAAAAGTACCAGGGATTAAAGACTTGTGAACATAGTAAATTCCAAAGAAACATGAATAGGATTGCACTGTCAGCACATCTGTAAAATTTGTGGGGAAGATATTTTGATCTCAGAACTGAAGAAGCTTCTTGGATGATAAGCAAAACATTTTCAAGGGGGGAAAAAACCCAAGAAAGTCCTGTTGCCTTTTGAAAAGCACCTTTGGGACATATTCTGATCTGCTTTTATGCTTGTCAACCACTCTCCATACAGTACTATTCATTTATGTTCATACAGCTACAGTACATATTGTGAGGAAACTCATACTCAATTCATTTATACACTCAGTCCTCATCTCTGTACAGTCCCCTTTGCCAAAGATGCAATAGGCTATGGATACTTACCAGGCCTGAGAATCCTATGGCAGATCCAGCCATGTGTTCTTGCCTCCTGCTGTCATCTCCAACTAACTGTAGTAACTCCTTTGCCACTGTCTCTGGCTGAAGCAACTCCAACAACTTCTCACACTTCCTGTCTTCACCACTGTTTCAGAAAGTCAGAGAGAAGACATAATTGCAAAATCTCACTCTTCAGCTTTGTTAGATTTTCCCCCCTCCCAAATAAAGCTGTCTTCTTTCAGCTTCAATATACGTTCTTCACTTTTCTTTGCTGCCTTTCAGGCTAAGCTACTCAGATGATCAGGAAGCTAGTGAAGGAAAAGGGCGGTGTAAAGGGAGGGAGAGAGGGAGGGAATATGTATATAGTTTGCCTCTTACCCTCCTTCCCCTATCGGGGTTAATCTCTCATTCTTCTGGAAAAAGGCTTCAGAGACACTTCCCTCCCCAGGGTGAGGCTTTGGCCTTGCCTTTAACTCCATAGCCTGTTCTTCATTAAAATGTTTATGAGTGCTATAAAGATACACACACTGCATCTTAGCTACTCCAATCACTTGCCAGGTGCTGGTTTTATCCCTAGATTTTGTACTATTGAACTGGTGACAGCCCAATTAGCTTCCCAGGCAAGGGAGGTGTCTGTAATTAAGAATACCCACCTAATGATTACAAGTTTAGAAAAAAAGTGAAAGGGCAGATACTCAACAATTCTGTAAAGTTACAACTATTTAGTGGAAATATCAGCAAGAGGAACTAAGCTTTCAACAGTGACTCCTCAGCCCTGTTTGTCTGAAAGACTTCCGTTAAGAAAAAAACACCACACTATAATTCAGAGGTGTCTAAATGTTTTATCTTTAGGAACCAATGATTTATGACAAATGACCCAAAAGATGTATAACTTCCTCCCCATTCATGACAAAATTCTTATTCTACTTCTCCTCCAACCTGTTCCATACCTATGATGGGGACTGAAACGTGGCTCTTAAGTGAGAATTGGGAATAACTGGTTGAAAGAGGAACCGTTAGGTAAAGCTAAATTCCCATCTTCTATGAGAATCTGGAGCCTTTTTTTTCCTGCTAAATCTCCCAATCAGATTATGGCTTCCAAAATGGTCTCCGCAGTTGAGATTTCAGGATATAAAATGAAGGCAGAATCATAATTCTGTCTTTGCAACTGTGACATGACATTGTTATTGTTACGTCCTTCGCGAAATGGCAATGACACGAGAAGCAGTTGTAGTTCTCAGGAACTCTTTATTTCTGTTCAGCATACTGGTTACAAGACGCCGACGACGCCCAAATCTCCCTGCCTCTTTTTATAGGCGATTCCCGGGCCAAACTGCAACAATTGGCGCGCTCGCACCTGCGCATGCGCGCGAGTGCTGGCGACAGCCAGTCTGGTCCCGGGCAGTTTGCACCTGCCTAGGACCGTTGCAATGCCCCGAGCCTGCTTCCACAGGCTCAGGACATAACACCCCTTCCCCCCCGGCTAAGACTATGATCATACAATAATAATATGCAACCCAATACAAGTGTGGTACCCATACTACTTGTACCAATTGTCCCCTTTACTTCTATTGTTCCCCCAGTGTTCTATTTTCCTATGTGTACAGGAATACTCTCTGTTAACTCTGTTTTGCCAGTAGGGTTACAAAATCTTCTAAATACTTAGGAGATCTTCTAGCTCTCTGTGACCTCCTAACTTCTGGGTACCTTCCAAATACCCCTTGAATGAGGGGTGATGTATGCTTGTCCCCCTTGCTAAACCCTGGTGATTTCCAAGGACTGTGCTCCAATGCCTGGCCTGCTTGCTTGCCCACCGGGCTCGTCAGGCCAGGGCTTCTTTCTCTGTTTGACCTGGTTGTCCTGCCTAGCTGCAGGCTCTCTGACCCTCTTAAGTGACTGTCACTGTTGGGCAATTCTGTAGAACCTCCAAGGTCTGTCCTAGACCTGTCAAGAGGTTGTCTTTCCCCGTGTTCCCGTTCTGTCCCCGGGCTTGTTGGGGTTTCAGTGCTGTCCCAAAACTCAGTTGTCCCCTGAGTGATGTCAGAGGTGTTGTAGTCAGGATTTGGTTCCTCGACCACCTCCCTGTGTGCTTGCCCCCTTCTAGGGACAGGGGTAGTGTTGGGCCAACTAGACGGACTGTGTGCCAGCTCTCTTGCAGGGTGTGGATTGTTTGGACGCTCCCGGATATCCTCCCTGAATGGAGTACTGAGTAATGCGGGTGAGTAGTGATTATGCCCCCGGGGTGACTCCCTGGCTGGAGTAGGCACTGGTGCCTGAGTTCTAGTTGGGCTCTATGGATTCCTGTTTGGAGCACTCGCGGAATCTCGGAATGAGCTGTCTGTAGCTCCCTCGTTAATGATAGACGGCAGCCTGCACTCTTCCCTTTGCCCAAAGGGGTCCCCCTCCCCCCTGGAAAAGACCCAGGAGTCTCAGTGGGAAGATCCCATCTAGTACGGAGCTGGTCGATGTGTCGTCACAGGACACGACCGTCGTCCAGGGACACCTCGTAGGACAAAGGACCTGTGACCCTGGAGACAGTGGCAGGGACCCATGAATGACCAGGCCCGTAGTTACGAGTCCAAACCGGGGCACCCACAAGCAGTTGTCTAGGTGCCCTGGGGTGTGTGATTGTGGAAGGTAGTCTGTCCGGGTGCAACCGGTCAAGCTTGGTAGTCAGTTTGCGCCCCCAATGAAGTTCAGCTGGACTCCTCCCAGTAGAAGTAGAAGGTGTAGTGCGATAAGAAAGGAGGAAGTCAGCCAACCTGTGATGCCAGTCTCCATAGGTAATTTTCTTCAAGGCGTCCTTGGTGATGCGAACCATGCGTTTAGCCATACCGTTGGTGGACGGGTGGAAAGGCGCAGAGGTGGCATGACGAATCATGTTGGCCTGTAAGAAAGCTTGGAATTCGGAAGAAGTGAATTGAGGGCCATTGTCAGATACGAGGACATCAGGAAGCCCGTGTGCAGCAAAAATCCCCCTCAGTACTTGAATAGTCTTTGCAGTGGTGGTGGAAGAGACAGGTACAACCTCAAGCCATTTTGAATGGCTATCAACTAGGACCAAGAAGAATTGACCCTGAAAGGGCCCAGCGTAGTCAATGTGCACCCTAGACCATGGAGACTGTGTTTCCTCCCATCTATGTACAGGAGCTTGGGGCATTTCAGGGCGCGAGCGTTGACAAAGGTGGCATGCATGCACCTTAGCTTCAATGTCTCTGTCTAACCCAGGCCACCACAAATGGCTGCGTGCAAGCGCCTTCATACGTACAATGCCAGGATGACCCTCGTGGAGGGAACCTAAGACCCTAGTCCTCATTGAGGCAAGAATGACAACTCTGCTCCCCCAAAGCAGACAACACTGGAAGGTGGACAACTCGTTCCTTTTGGACCAGAAACTCTGAAACTCAGTGCCTGGACAGCTCTCTGGCCATCCAGATAAAACCCAAGAAAGGACACGCAAAAGTGTGAGATCTGTGGCTGATTCAGCAGCCACATCCCGTGCGTCTAAAGGAGACTCAGGCAAGGCCTGAATGGAGAGGATATTGATTGTTGGTGCAGGGTCAGCTTCTACTACTGGCAGGGGTAATCTACTGAGGCCATTAGCATGGCCCATTTCTTTCCCAGGTTTGTGAAGTAAGGAAAGATCATAGGCAGACAAAAAGATAGACCATCTCAGCATCCTGGGGGAGATGATTTGGGGAGTTTGTTTATGTGTAGTAAACAGCCCCAACAAAGGCTTATGGTCAGTGAAGACCGTGAAATGCCTGCCATATAGGAAGTCATGGAATTTTTTGATTCCAGCAACAACAGCTAAAGCCTCCCTGTCAATTTGAGCATAATTTCGCTCTGCAGAAGACAAGGTTCTGGAGTAATATGCAACAGGAACCTGAGTTCCATCTGGTCTGAGGTGGCTCAGTACGGCTCCCACCCCATAAGGAGAAGCATCACAAGCGATGCACACAGGAAGGGATTCATTGAAATGTGCAAGCACACTGTTAGAAGTGAGTAAGGCCTTAACCTCATTGAAACTTGCTTCGTGTTTTTGTGACCACTGCCACACTGCCTGTTTGTCCAAGAGCCTATGAAGAGGCTCGGCTACACTAGCCTTGTTTGGAAGGAAGGAGTTGTAGAAGTTCAGAAGGCCCAGAAAGGCCTGTAGTTCGGCCTTGGACTTTGGCCTAGGAGCATGCAAAATAGCTTTCAATTTGGATTCAGCAGGGTGAATCCCGGTAGCATCAATTTTGAATCCCAGAAAATCTGTAGAAGGCACCCCAATTTTACATTTGTCCTTCTTAAGTTTGAGGCCCGTTTGCCTGAACCGTAGCAGGACAGCCCTTAGTCTCTCAGCTAAATTGTGTGTAGAGTCTCCAGCAATTAAGACATCATCAAAATAGGGGCAAACCCCTGGTATACCCCGTAGTGTGTTTTCCATTATGCTTTGGAAAATTCCAGGAGCCACATTTACTCCAAATTGTAACCTCTTTACCTTGAATGCCCCCCTGTGGGTCACAATGGTTTGAGCTACCGCAGCAGCAGCATCAACAGGCAGCTGTTGATACTCCTGAGCTAGGTCAAGCTTTTCAAAAATGCACCCCCCCTTGAGGGAGGCCAGAATATGACTGACCACTGGGACAGGATAGGCATGTTGCTGCAATGCCTTATTCAGAGTGCATTTGTAATCTGCACAGATGCGAATGTCCCCATTTGCCTTAAGAGGCGTGACAATGGGGGTCTCCCAAGGACTGGAGTCAACAGGTTCTAGAACTCCTTGCTGAATCAATTTGTCCAATTCTGTGTCAATTTTACCTTTCAAAGCAAAAGGGACCCTTCTTGCTTTAATTCTAATAGGGGTGACAGTGGGGTCTAACTTCAGTGACACAGGGGGTCCTTTGTACGTGCCCAGCTGGGGGCTGAAAACATCTGCAAATTCTTTGCAGACTTCTTGTAGGTCTATTGTTTGCAAGCTATTGAGCCCTATGACGTGTATTCCCAAGGCCTCAAACCAATCGAGTCCTATGAGACTCGTTCGTTCACCCCCTACTACTATTACATCTAGTGGACCTTTAAAATCCTTATACTGTACGTTAAGGGTGGCCTCCCCCTTAACACACACTCTGGAGTTTTGAAAGTCTGTTAACACAATGTCGGAAGGCCTCAGCTTGGCCTGAAATCTGCTGCCAGAACAAATCTTCCTAAACGTGTGCATGGAAATGATTGAAAGTGCAGACCCCGTATCCAGTTCCATAGCCAATGGAACCCCTTGTAGCTTCACTTTAAGTGACAGCTTTTTCTTGATGGGCTTGTGTGTGCCTGTCCTATAGATGCTTCTTCGCGAAGCACAGAAAC